TGTGTGTGTGTGAGAGAGGGAGAGGGGTAGAAAAAGAGAGCGAGAAAGAAAGAGGAAGAGTGAGTGTGGGAAAACAAGAGAAAGTGAGAGTGAGAAAAATGTGAGAGAAAGGGGAGAAAAAGAGAAAGAGAAAAGGTATCTGTGTGTGAGAGAGAAGAAAGAGCGAGGGAGAGAAGAGAGAAAGAAAGAGAAAGAAAGGGAGTGGGGTAGAAAAAGTGAGTAAGCATGTGAGAAGAGAAAGGGAGAGAAAGTGTGTGTGTGTGTGTGTGTGTGTGTGAGAGAGAGAGAGAGAGAGAGAGAGAGGGGAAGACACAGATGAAGAAACAGGCCAACCACAGAGATGTGTTTTTACGGGACTTTGCATCTGGAAGCCGGGAACAAACTAGGATTAAACCCCCGATTAGGTGGAAACAGGATCTAGGATAGGTAAGTCTGGGGTGGCTGGGAAAGACTCCACTTCAAGGGGTCGCATTTTCTTCCCCACAGCAACGATGAATTAGAAGACCCCCGGCAGGCCAGTGAAGGGGAATTTGATACCATGGATCCCAAGAAGGAGGTAAGGGATGAGGAAGGCTCCCTTGTGCAGACGGGAGTCCAACCGGGTACTAATTACAGGAAGCCCTCGACTTATAACCTTCCGTTTAACAACGGTCGGAAGGTACAACGGCATGGGAGAAAAATGGCTGTTTTTCACCAGCCTCGCAGCATCTCCCGCCGTCACTGGATCAAAACTCAGGCGCGGGGCAAACGACCCGTCTTTTATGACGGTCGCAGTGCCTCCCTTTTGCGGGCCTCCCCATCATCGATGGGGGAAGCCAGATTCACTTAACAACCGGGTTGCTCAATTAACGGCGACAAACCACCGCAGTGAGAACGGTCGTAAAACGGAGCGAAACTCGCTTTGCCGACGGTCTCACTCAGCCACGGAATTTGGGTCGCAAAATCGAGGACTCCCGGTACCGGATCAAGAGCCAGAGGTGTTCTGGGAAAGAGAAGCTCTGCCTGGCATCCTCATCTTACGACATGGAGATGGGGGTGACCCTGCTTTTGAGAGCGGTTCAAGAAGCGCGTGGAAGTCGACTTCCCCACAGCCTCCCGTTTCATCCCTCTCCCCCCCTCCCCCCCCCCCTCCAGCCTGGTTATCCGAAGCCCCCCAGCAGCAAACCTGGGCCCATGAAGAAGGAGGTGCAGCTGCCCCAATATCGGCATCATCCTCTCCGTGCTCGCCGGCGCCCCCCGAAGGGCATGTATCTGAGCCAAGAAGGTATCACGGGACTTTCCACCAGCCCTGACGTGGCCCTGCTCACCTTGCGCCACCTGGACTCCCAGCTGGTTTCGCTCAAACGCCAGGTACCCAGTTCCAATCCAAAATCTTATGTAAATATTTTTTTTAAAAAAAAAAAGATTTGAATGGGGTTCCTTATTTTTTAAAAGGTGTCCTTGGCAGGCGAGGATCGCTAAAGTCACGGGGGCGCAGAATAGAAGCCGACTTTTAAGTGTTGACTTTCTTCCATTTGAAGTGGGGAATAGAATAGAAATAGGAACAGAAAACAGAATAGGAATAGAAAATAGAATGAAATAAAATTAGAATAGAATTGGAATTTAGAATAAGAAGTAGAGAATAAAATATAGAACAGAATTAGAAAGCAGAACAAAGTAGAGAATACAATATAGATTAGAATAGAATTAGAAATTAGAACAGAATAATAAGTAGAGATTAGAATATAGAATAAAATTAGAAATTAGAATAGAATAAGTAGAGAATAAAATATAGAATAAAATTAGAATAGAATTAGAACAGAATAAGTAAAGATTAGAATATAGAATAGAATTAGAAATTAGAATAGAATAAGTAGAGAATAAAATATAGATTAAAATTAGAATAGAACTAGAAATTAGAATAAGTAGAGAATAAAATATAGAATAAAATTAGAATAGAATTAGAACAGAATAAGTAAAGATTAGAATATAGAATACAATTAGAAATTAGAATAAGAAGTAGAGAATAAAATATAGAATAAAATTAGAATAGAA